GGGGGGGGGATGTTTCCAGTGCCGTTCTGTAGGAATTGAATATGAGATGAAAATGTTTGAATGTGAACTACCACGAGGTCATTGAACTCCGCTCCATTTACAAATTTGCCACGATGATAACTGTAATTCGAGATATATCCTTTTTCAGCATCGAGGAAAGGGTATATTACTATTATTATATACATTGTATTTTATGGTGGGAGGTAGTGGCAGGTGATTCCTTTACTCAAACATTTTGTTGGGGGCTCGAATGTGGCTGACTAATCCGTTTGTGTGTGTGTGTGTGTGTGTGTGTGTGTGTGTGTGTGTGTGTGTTGTTGTTGTTGTTGTTGTTGTTGTGTGTGTATTTGCGACTATGTACTGTTATTTTATGGGACTAACTTGGTGAAAGGATGGTGAACAACAAATGGGAGAAACGATACAGTACGTAGAGAGACCCCCCCAAAAAGTTCTCACGTTCAGTCGAGAAAATGACTTTGAAACCCTTGAAAATGAAATACAGTGGTGTCCGTCTAACAGCAACCCAGTTGGGAAGCAAGCCTTGGTTTCGGTTAGACGGATAAGTTGCTGTTAACTGAATTTTACTGGTGGTTTGCGGGTGCTCTGATTTGGTCTACCCCCTTTTTCCTTTCAAATATCTATCGTTCTGTCTCTCCTCCTTTTTGTGTTTGTTACTCTTTTTCAACACCTAATCTTCGGCACTTGTATGACCTAATTGTGTTGCAAGTGCCGTAAAACTCTTAGTAAAACTAAAACTAAATAAGAATATCTTGTTACACTTCCAATCTTTGGCACTTATATGACCAGATTGTGTTGCAAATGCCGTAAAACTGTTAATAATAATAATAATAATAATAATAATAATAATAATAAAACTAAAACTAAAAATCTTGTAACTCCTCTAGTCTTTGCCACTTACATGACCTTTAAGTGTGCTGCAAGTGCCGTAAAACGCGTACTATATAAATATATGCAATAACTGAACTGAAATTTTAAAAAGAGGGGGGGGGGGGGGTGTAGTATGGTCGCTTTTAAAGACAAGCGGGCTAACCCAGACATCGGGGTTTCCTGAAATCTTGACCTACACCAAATGTGGGCATTGGCACATCTATAGGATAAGGTTTGTTTAATTGGTGTGTATATTTGTTTGGTTATAGAGAAAACTCTCCTTGTCGGTTAAAGAAATTGAACAAAGGGGCAGAAACTTTCCCTTCGATTTTCTCCAAACAGCATTTTGCGGGATAGCCCCCTTATGCATAAAGCAAGCATATTATTATATCTTCGTCAAAAAGTAAACCCCACGTCTCCGTCTGTGCTTATCGTACTTGTGCGATCCCCCCTACGACCACTCATCGGTAAATCCCTGACTCGCGACTGCCGCGATCGATCTCAAGCCTCGACACTCCGCAATCACAGCCATGACGCAGACTCCCACGCCAAACGCTCTCCTCCTCTCTCTCTTTCTCCCGCTTTCTCTCTCTCTCTCTCTCTCTCTCTCTCTCTCTCTCTCTCTCT